CTCTCCAAAGTGGGCCAGGGAGGGGTTGAGGGAATGTTAACCTTAGATAGGAGGAGGGATCCTTCTTGCTTTGGGGCAAGAGGGAAAGAAACAGAGATGGGTATGAATTCAGGAAGACAGGGGGACTGAAGTTGAAGGAATTCTCTTCTGGTGATCACTATTGTCTTGGAAAGTGGGGGGCTCAGTCTTTGGTTCAAAGGGAGGGGGCCAAGGATGGGGTAGAAGGTTTGAGAAGAGTGAGGAAAATTACCTATTTGGTGGGACTGTGGTTAGAGTTAAATGAGATAATATATTTGAAAGTTATTTGCAAATGTAACTTATTTTTCAGAAGGGATAATTTACTGAGTGGAAGAAAACCCTGATGGCATCATTTAATAGATACATGAAGCGTTACGGTTAGAGGTTCAAGGTTATTTTTCATTTATTTAGATAACACTCCTAAAGCAAGAAGCAATAATGTTGATCCGAATTCAATTAACAAAACAGTCTCACATTTTTCAGATTTTACTCTTTAGGAAGCTACACTGAGGAAGGCACTCCCGAGTTTCTGTTCTCCCTTCAAAATAGTATTGTGATTCCATTTGCAAACCAAACTTTGGGGTGGTGGTGGTTGTTTTTACTCCAACTAAGATATGCATTTACTTGTGTGGGAAGTATATTAAAGAGGTGAGAAATTTTCAATGCTTATTTTGGGAAAATGCTATTTGTAAGAAGCAGATTTATTTTATATGTATTGGACACTAAAATGTTTACTAGAAGCACTTTAATTGCTCTATGTAAATCCTAGCGTGAATGTCAAGTGTGATAGGAGGAAAATGGTCAGAAGAATGTAACTCTCTGAATCGAATCTTTCATGGGAAGGGAACCCACACATTGCTCTGGGAAGGCAGTACTTAGCCGTTTTGTGTTTATTAAACCCAGGGGATCTACTAGGGGACCTACCCTGTGACAATGCTGTATTTAAATCATTAGTCAACAAATTTCAACACAATGGAACTGAAAACAATATAAAAAGACCCAGAAAGGTTCTCAGCTTTTCCACCTTCTGAAAGAAATGGCTTGTTATAAGGAAGAATAATTAGTTCTTATTTCTTAAGTTACAAATTAAACCATGTGGGTTTTCATTTAAGTCCAGAGACTATTAACATGGAAAGACATGAAAGTGCTGCCCAAGGTAAAAGTCATATTGCCACTGATTCGTTGCAATTACTAGCTAATTTGACTAGCTCTTTTTCCACTGAAAGCTCCCAGGGAGCTGGAAAGGGACTGAGCGATCATTCTTTTAACAGATGAAGAATCGTGGGTAATTTTTGCTAATCCAGAATGATGGTGATTGCATGTTTATAATACTTCACTCTGAGGCATCATTCCTTATTTTACACATGGAAAGAGAATTGCTTTAGGTATGCTTTTGTCTGACTTATGGAGAGTCAACCATATCTTATACATATAATTCTAATTACAATAAAGGGCAGTGTCAATATTTAGTCATCTTTCTCATTTGCAAATAAAATAACTCTTATCCTTTATTTGAAGAAGAAAAAAAAAAAAAGCTTTTCCCTGCTCTGCTTAAAAATGCCAATATCCAATGCCTGTTTCTTTCTGCAATGTTTTTTTTTTCTTGCAACATTTTTCTAACCCTCTGCACATAAAATTATATCTTTGGGGATGAAAATACTTCTTTTATTTACTTTCCAAATAATGAAACCGACTTGGAAAAATAGCATTGGCACTAGCTGGAAACCCCACTAGTTACGAAATCATACATAATTTGTACAACCTTGAAGACTGGAACTGCTTTTAGAAACTCATGCCATCAAACCCTCCAACTCAATTAAATTCAAGTTTGTTAGCACCACCATTGGCTGTGTAACATCAGTGTATGCAGGCAAAGAAATAAAAGGAAGCATTGGTAACAGACAGCAGTGCTACCTATAATTCCCATTATTTGAGATTCACTCCTTTGAAGTAAAATATTTTATTCCAGAAGTAGAGGATTAAAATTCAGAAGCCTCTGGAATGAAATGCAACATTGGACCATTGTCTGTGATTAGCACCTTGGAGATAAGTGATTCGTTCATTTTGGAAAGAGGCTGGGAGGAGGAGTAATGTGTTCAAAGTCACATAGGTAGTTATAAGCTGAGTGGCAATTAGAGTTTTGATGTCCTTAGTCCCCTGGCCAGTGTTCTACTGAACAGTGGCCTCCTGTTCTTAGGTCTCTGTTCACCTTGGCAGAATGAATAAATTGTTCAGCTCTACAATTTTTATCTGCTCTACAAATTCTACAATTCTAAGGAAGAGAAGGCAGGTTGAGGTTGAACTGGGCGAATGGAACAATGATGAGTCTTGCCCCTGATGTTTCTGTCTCTGCAAAGCCAGAGAACTTGAAGGCCAAGTCCCAAATCAGCTTCTGATTCTTGCTCAGCTTTGTGCTTCTGTCTTGAGTTGTCTCAGTTGAACAGTGGTACCTAATTGGGGAGCATGGGCCCGGTGGTCAGATTCATCCATTTTGCTCCCCACCTAGCCTGGCTTGTATTCAGCTTTTTAATTTTTTTGGCATAGCTGTGAACCCATTCCTTAATAACACTCTGCTCCTCAGTTTGAGCATGAAATAGTCCCAAATAGCCTCAGTTTCTTCTGCTCTGTTGAATTCTAAGTCCCTGATTTACTCCCGCCTTTTCTTTCAGAATTGGTCAGAATTGCCCTTCAAAGAGAATGCACTGACTTTACCGAGGTTGATGCATTATTTCGGTATGCTCTAATTTATTGAATCAGATCCCCAATGGATGAATGTCCTAACCCTACTTTTTAATTTGTTAGATGGGTAAGTTAGAGAGGATAGATAAAGAACCCTCACTTTTTAGAAAGTTGGCTTTAGAAGATTAAGTTTGAGTAGAATCCAGGCCTTTTTCAGGGGGGAGACCCCATTTTGTATTGCTTGACAAGTAGTAGGTACAGTCTCTGTAGGCAAAGCTTTCTCTGCTGTGAAGCCTCCATGATACCCGGTGTGGTCGACCCCATTTTGTATTGCTTGACAAGTAGTAGGTACAGTAGTAGGCAAAGCTCTCTCTGCTGTGAAGCCTACATGATACCCGGTGTGGTCACTTGTATTACCTGTGCTTGGAGTTTGTTAACTGGTGATCATTTCTGTGTTTCGTTTTAGAGGGAAATTGATCAAGCTGCAGGAGGGTGGGAGTAGGCCATGAGCCAACACAGTTGAACTAGCTCTTTACTCACGAACTGCTTCTCATTATTTCAAGGACAGTCACTACTGTTACTATTAAAATAGCTGCTCTCACGCTGGCAGGTAAACATGCAGACAAGAAGACTGATAAATCTCAAGACACAAAAGTCTAAAAATACAAAAGATAAAAACAGAGGTCCACGTCAGAAAGTCAAAAATGAACTATGATTATTACTGGTATTGTGATGGCCCAACTGAAGTGAAATGGTAAAAGTTACATTGTCATTCATTTATGTACCGAAAAGAATGGAAAAACTGTGCCTTGCAGGATTGTTCCTTGGGATGAGCAAAACTACAATTTTACGCAAGATAATTCTCTATTCTTAAGTGCCTCTTCTATAATTCCAGGAGGATGTGATTTGCGGTGCAGTGAGCAATACCAATTACCACGTTTCTCTCGAGGGCTACAGCGAATGCTCATCTTCACCTTCCTCCTCACTAAGGCGTGGAGCAGACATCAATCATCATTACTGCACACCTGTCTGCATCCTTAATTAGGATGACACACAGTAGAGCTTAGTGGCAGAGCATGCAATATTATGCATTTAAAAAAAATTGTTGGTGGTAAGAAGCAATCTTAAATGACTTGTACAAGAGCTTGTGTATCATGAGCCCAGAACTCCACAAGGTCTTAGAGAGCTCAAACCATTTTTCTGGTAAAATTTCAAAACCCTAATTGAACATATCCTGCTTGTCTAAGCAATTTGCAATTACATTTTTGAATACAAATAAGGATATTTTCGGGGTCATCACTCATCTTTTTATGGTACGCTTTCCAGGTTAAGTTACCTTGCCATGGTTGCTTCATGCTGTTCCTTAGGCTGTTGATTTGGCATTTGTGCAATTTGCTGTTGATGGTTCCAGCACAATAAGAGATTATTACTAGATGGAGAAACACCATGATTTATGTCTTATCATTGATTTGCTGCTCTGTTGTTGCATCATATCATCATGGTTCATCCTGGTTATTGTATTTCCTGATTCAAGGAAAATAAAAGCATTTAAAACTGCAGCAGGAAAGGGAAAGGGAGCTAACATTTACTGAGTACCTACTGTGTTCCAGGCAGTACTTCAAGAGCATTTCCTTGTTTTATCATCACAACTCATCTCTATTTTACAAAGGGGAAAAACTTAAATTCAGATTATATAATTGCTTGATGTCATGCAGCTCGCAAGCAGCGGAGCCAGGATTGGAATGCAAGTTAGTCTAACTGCTATAATTCAGGTTCTTCAAGCAATAATAGTACCTTATATGTGTACAGAGCTCTATAGGTTACAAAACATTTCCCCATATATTATCACCTTAATTTCCCCAACAGTTCTGTGAGGTATACACTACTACAAAGTTATATATATATATCTTTGTATTTTAGAACAGAAAGAGTCTGTCCACCCGGCACTAGCAGAGCCAAACATTGCAGTGGAGAAATATTGGCTATTTTATTATGAATGCACCATTCAGGAGAACGAGAGGCTAATGCTCAAAAGCCCAAACTCCCCAATGGCATGTAGATTGCAGACTATATTGGGCAAAAATCACAAGACACCGTGGGCTAGAGGTTCCAGGTCGTGATGGGAGCTGATTTGTCAAAGGTGAGGTAAGGGTGCTGAATCATTTCTTCAGGATTTCACTTCTTCAGGTCTTGAGGGTAGCTCTGAGGTCTGTTCTGGCATCCTCTGTCTGGTTTCATGGGAAAGTGGTGGGCCCACCACAGGACTCATCTTCAGGTCTTGAGGGTAGCTCTGAGGTCTGTTCTGGTTTCATGGGAAAGTGGTGGGCCCACCATAGGGCTCTGGAACTGAAGCATAACTGAGGTCAAGATGTTATCTTTAGCCTTCCAGAGGTAGGGCAGTGTGACCATTTGTCAGCTCCAGGCTATTGTCTTCTGCTGCCTTGGGGTTGCTGATTATCTGAGGAAAAGGCTCGGTCTGGGGGGGGCGGGGTGGAGGAGGTATATATATAGAGAGAGAGAGAGAAAGAAAAAGAATGAGAGGGAGAGAGAGAGAGAAGAGAGAGATGATTTTTAGAGCTAGAATTTAAAACTAAATTTAATTAACATCATAAGGACCCTCAGTTTTATTTTTATGCATTAAATATATAATATTAATTATAATATAATTATTATGACCTTTTACAGAGGAAAATGAAGCTCAAGGAAACTATGACTTGCTCAAGGTCAAGCACATAAATAGCAGGGCTAAGGACTTGGAGAATATAAGACCATCACTTTTTCCATGACTCCACTAAAGCCTTGGAGCAAACCAATTCTTATTTAGAAAGAGGCAGATTGTTTTGTACTATGTTGTATGTTTATCTATAACTCAATGTTTCTATATCCCATGCACTTGGAAAAATAATTTGTGAAAATCATAGCTTCATACATAGATGTTGTTAAACAATTAAAGCCAAGGTAACAAGACCAAGTAGTGAATTAGTGAATTAGAAAACCTAGGCTAAGAATGCACATTTGCAGGTGTGCATAAAAGTAGCAGAAATTAGATCTGAGGTCATGTACAATCGGGGGCATCTTCCTATTGTAGCATTAATGGTGTCATTAGAAGCTTTTCAGTCTTGTTTAATAAAGGACTCTCTTGCCCAAGGAGACAACTCATTGAAAAGTTGGAGTGGAGTGGGGAAGACATTGGGGAGCAAGAGGAATCTCTCTCCACTTTTTCTTAGTTACACTTTCTAACTCCCCACTCCCTTTTCTTGGACTCCCCACCACCTCTCAAAGGTGTTTACTTAATAAATCATTGGCATCACGATGGGAATGACTGCTATGTTTACCTCTTCAAAGAAGAACCTGTCCATACAAGTGAAGCTCCAAGTGGTAAAATGGTAGACTGTCCCTGAAAGGTTCTTTTGAGTAAGGGCAGTTTGTGTTGCTCTATGATTATTTTGGGCAGCCACATCCCTAAACCTGCCCATACTTCCCTCAAAACACTCTTTCAACATGCTTTCAGCAACACATATTTATTGGGTACAATTTGTGACAGGCATTGTGCCAAGTGCTGGGGATATGTTAGAAAGAAAACAGACATATTCTCTTACAAAATATAAACTCTAGGAAGGCAGGGACTGTAATATACAGAATTAGCATTGTTTTGTACCAGCCACAACCCTCTTCTCACTTTGGCAAATGGCTGTGTACTCCCTTAGACGCAGTAAAAACAGAGAACTAATAGCATGTAGATGGGTCATGGGTTCTCAGGTGGAATCATTAAAACCATGAAGAGTACAGACAATGGATACTGTATTGTAGCATCTCTTCTTTCTCTTCCTTCCTTCCTTCCTTCCTTCCTTCCTTCCTTCCTTCCTTCCTTCCTTCCTTCCTTCCTTCCTCCCTCCCTCCCTGCCACACAGCACAGGTGTTGCCCATTTACTAGCTATGTCTCTCCGAGGTTCATTTGTTCCATCTGTTAAGTGAGGATAGTTAATAGCTCCCTCAAAGTACGCACTACATGAACATAATTGGTGCTCAATCAACAAAGCTATTAAAATCACTACTATTTAGATTTAGAACTCTTCTTTAAATACCATAATTCATTACCTTTATGATATTGGAGGTGCTTTTCTTAAGGCATTATTTGTGGAAAGATGGTGTTTTTACTAATAATTTAGCACATTTCCAATTGCAATGTATTACTTGCAGGACTTTTATTTAGCATCTTCATAGCTTAGATTATTTTGATCATTCTAGGGAGGTAGGTTCCTTATACAGCCGTAGGCCAGTGAAGCAGTTGAAAAGTCAAAAGGTATTTGTGACACATATAATATTTGCAAACTATACATTTACACGACACAGGAATCTTTTCCACCTTTGGTCCTTGATCATTTTTCCCCTCATGACACAATATAATGTGACTAAATGGTGTGGCTCAGCTGTGCTTTCTCAAGTACCCTGTGAAGTCCATGGTGTTGTCTTAATGCCCCCAAGTTCAAGTGCCAGTTCCAGTGCTTACATACCAGATTTGGAGAGTGTTTGCCAAGATACAAAACATCCATGTTGGAGGCCCTAATTCATAAAACTTTTGGCATGATTTAGAAAAACAGAGAAATCCTATAGTACCAAAGCCAAATTAAACTGTACAATAGGAAAGAACTAAAATATGTGGACCATTAGCCAGCTACTACACAGATGTGTATCTGAAGGTTTGGCTGAGTCCAATTTGGCCCTCAGATCTACGTTTTGGCTCCTGTATAGTTAATTTTCAGTAGAAGAAAGTATTAATTGAATACTTTTTTTTCCCCCCGCAAAAAGCTTGATTGTCTTATTTGGTCCAATGCAAGGGGGAGGGCTTCAGGGTGGTTAAAAGAATGGCTAGTAGTTTTGGGAAGAGGCTGAGGTAAAAGCCAGACACCAGGGGATGCAGAGGGGCCCCTCAAAGGCTTCTGGGCTCCACAGGCTCCTAGTCGTGCTTGAGGGTGAGCTTTTAGAAGGGATACTCGCCCAGCCCAGCCTGGGGGCCAGCAGCCTGTGGAGGGTGTCACCCATCTTCTTGATGAGTTTCACCTCCTCATCCCGGAAGTGGTTCTCCAGGAAGTCACTGAGCTGAGGGCCTGCAGCTCCTAAAGGGCCTGGGTCAGGCTCCTCTCCAAGGCCAGGGCAGCCTCCATGGCACCCTGAGTTTTGCCTCCCTCACCTTGGGGAGGCTGCAGCACGTCCTGGAGAGAATGCGGCCACGGAGCTGGTTTTGTATCTTTAAGAGACGCTCAGAGCCCTCCCTCTTTTTCTCTGCCAACTCGCAGAAGAAGCAGCCCAGGCCCTCGAGAGCCACATCTTCACGGTCGAAATAGAAGCCCAGAGAGAGGTAGGTGTGGGAGGCCCGCAGATGCAGGCTGGCCAGGCGGTTGACCGCAGCCTCCACGTCGGTGGGATAATTCTGAGGCATTTGGGAGCTCATGGTTGTTCGGCAATAAGGAGTAAAGGTAGAAAAAACCCTGGTGTGTTGGCTGGTCCCGGAGGTGGTTCTGAGGTGGTGACTGGATAAGACGCAGAAGAGTGGCCGGAGGCTGGAAGAAGGGGCGTCCCTGGGTCTGTTCCGTCCAAACACTGTTGAAGCAAAGACAGATCTGGGATCGCTAAGGGCACTGCCTGAATATTTAATCTTTTTCTGAATACTTTCTTTCAAAGGCAATACTATGCATAAATGCAAGAAAAAAACAAACAAATGCTTTTTCTATTTGCCTTTTATAGTTCTTTTGGGAAACATGCTGAGTGTGACTATATGGCAAACATGTCTAAACACAAACATTCTAAGTTTTCCCCCCAGTCCCAGTAAGATTATGCATCTACTCTTATTATGCTGCTATTGATCAAAATACTTTTAGAAGAGCCTCGAGGGCCTCTCTCTGAAATGTCCTCAGTTGTAGAAAATCTTCACCTTTCAAAGATGGTTGTGATTTTCAAACTTACCCTCGTTCATTTGGAGCCAGGTCTGGGTAATCAAGCTGGATAATTCCACCTGAGGTTAAAACAAAAGGAAACATGATAACATCTGATAAAAGGTTCTGATAAATATGCCATATAAATTGACTTTAATGGAGATGGCTGAAAAAGGTGAAGAGATTAAGCAAAAAAGAAACCCCACCCACAAACAAACAAATAAAAACCCGCACAGACACATAGCAGAGGGTGGGGAGAGGGGGAGAAGGTATTGGCGGGATGAATGGTGGAAAAAAAAAAAGAGAAATGAATCTAAAGAAGAGTTCTAAAATAACTTTAGGCAATGCCAACAACATTGGAATTACATTGCCTTCCAACGTGACTGCTTTAAAAATCTAACTTCTGATTCTTTTATGAAAATTTAGTTTTGTAACTTAGTGGTAACACTCCATGCCAATGTGCGCTGACTCAGAAGGAAATTCCAAGAGCTCAGGGACTGTGCTTTCAACAATTAATCTACACTTTTACTCAAGTGCTTAGTGTGATGCCATGCATTCTGTGGCAACCGACTAAGTAGTAGACGATGATGATGCCTGGCTTTGATATCAACGGACTTGATAAGGTAAGAAGACTTGGCAAGACATGAGTGACCATGTGCTGGCTGTTTCAGGATTGCTGGCATTGCCTTAGAATAGAAAGAGTAAAATTGCTACTTACTGAGAGTTTTTTGGTACTTTATTTTCATGAACGCTTATAAAACATGTGCCTCATGCTTGCTTCTAATGCAGTTTGTGGATATTGTGCAGTGAAGCCACTGTATGCTGAAGAACAACCACTAACAGTGGAGAAGCTCCGCACAGCAGGCATGGAGCGGCCTACTTTGAGGAAAGAAAGTCAGGAGCTGCCATGCTAATCATATCAATGATGTTAACGCCAAGGGAGGACTCAGAGATTGTCGACCTACAAAGTAGAGTCAAGCCACCGACAGTTTTCCATTCTCATTAATACCTTGGGAAGCATTTGTTCTTTTTTTCCCAAGGAATATTAATGGATCTGCATAAGCAAAAACTGGAACATATGTTCTAAATATTAAAAAAATAATTCCTTCTGGATTTTTTTTCCTGAGGGAGTGTATGTGTTAGCTGGGGAAATTAAGATAGGTGGAAATAGTGAACAAACAAACCATAAAAAGCAAAGTAGGAAGGAATGAAATGATTTGAGGTACAGATACAGCAGTGGAATAATTGGTTGGAAAAAGGCGAGTCAAAGAATGTTCTATGGAGGAAGGAACATTTGAACTGAGATTTGAGAAGGAGATCAGAAAATAGCACATCAAACACATAGAGGCAGAAATCCATGAGATGATATGGGGAAGAGGGAGTTGTTCAGTTGGCCGGAATGTGAAAGTGTCAAGTAGGAGGCGCTGGAAATAGGTAGGAGAAGTAAGTGAGACTCAGACTGAGGGCATGGGGAGGAGTAAACAGATGAGTGATACCATTTGAATTCGGCTTCATTAAAAACAACCTGGCAGCACAGTTCTCCTGTGAGATCCTCTTCAGCGAATGTTAAAAAATCAGCTCGTGTCCAAACATGAGCTTGAGATGTTGTCAACCATTACTAGATGTGAACCAAGCTCGAGTTCTAAATGGGTCTTTAATTCTGTAGTTGTGGCTTTCCTGATGGATTCAACACATTAAATTTCTCACACATGAATGGTTTTGATGTATGTGTTAGCTTTATACTGTCCACTAGCTGGACATTAACAAAAAAACTATTGAGCTGGATGAAGTGCTCTTAAAAGTGCAGGTTCTGGCATGAGTTGCCTTTTTTCTTCTTCTTCTTCTTTCTATAAAATAATGAATCTGGAAAAATTCCTTAGGGCAGAGGTAGGGCTCTATTTATTTACCCCTTTATAGCCCTTTCAGTAAGAAGAGGCCAGTGGAATGATTTGTTAAAATTTTTCTTAAACTTCTTCACCAGAGCGCAGGTTGGGGCAAGCTTCCTTTTCAGTTCTCCAGGCTACAATAAACCCAACATCTGCTCTCTTCCTATTGGTGGATTTAAAGCCATGCATTTGGCATTGGAATGTAGGCCAGGATATCAGAAAGCTTGACTATGCTACCTTCCATTATGCTGTTTATTCTGATATTAAACAGAACAAAAACCAAGCCCTAAAATGAAAACTTGTGATCATGCTGGGTTAACACCAAACCCCAGAGTCAGTGAAGAGATCAGCAAGAGTAGGAGCGTGGGCCTCATTATAACACTGAGTCACCCTTGGAGGTGCGTGCTTTCACTGAATTAAAATTGCAATGTTTTGAGTGTAGCTTTTCACAATACAGAGCTCTCATAACCAAGTGTGGGAGTAATACCAGAACAAGCAAATTATAGGGAACTGGAGAAGGGATTCCACTACGGAGGAGGCAAATCTAAGGAATAGCTTTCACATGAGGTGTGAATTTGGTTCCCCACACATTTCAGTGTCCCTTCTAAATATAGATTTTTTTTTTCTCATGTGGAATCAATGAATGAAAATGTGGGCTGCACGCACAATAAATTCAGTACAGCAAGAACTCTGCATGTTGTGGTAGTACTTAGAACGTGTCTTTAATAGTTTTCCTCAGGGAGTACTGAGATTAAGAATAATTTTAGCTCACTGTTGTTGACTACAGATGACAAAGGACAGAAAGATGTGAATAAAATGTATCAATGAATGCTCAATTTCACCTTTTCAACTAAATATACCTATTCTGTACCAGACTCTGTGCTAGACTCTTCAGGGTGTACAAAGTTGGGGAAAGCACAGTCTTTTTCTCAAGGAGCTCACATCTAGTAGGGAGCATGAGATAAATGTATAATTGACTAAATTGCAAGGGAGGATAACTTTAAATGAATGCCAGGAGTGAGCTTATAAGCAATATGCCACGATGGTTTGCAGCAGAAGAATGTCCAGGAAAAGGTAAATGGAGGCAAAAGGTGTGACTCTCCAAAAATCTGGCTGTCTGGGAAGATGGTGGCCCCATTCATGGAAATATGGAAGTTAGGAGGAAGAGCCTGTGAATGCGTTGAGTTTGAGAAGGCAATGAAACATTGATATCCTGGAGGCAGCGAAAAGCCTGTCTGAGAGATTTTGAGAGTAGAGATGTGAATGGACATGCAGGGGTAATAGTAAAAGTTGTGGAGGGGATAAGATCACCCAGAAAAGCCATTGGGAGGAAAAAGAGCACTGGGAAGTTTTAGGGGAAACCTGATTTTAAAGGACAGGAGAAAGAAGAGGAAGTGGAATTAAGATGCTGAGGGAATGGTCTGAGCCATAGCAGAACCTGGAGAATGCAGTGTGATGGAATTTAAGAGAGGATTTTGGGAAGAATTTGAGCAACACTGAGGATTACCATTGAGGACTCAAGGAGGATGTAACTGGAAGAAGAAATGGTATTTAGTGATTAGAAAGTGATTGATGCCTTTTAAGAGAGAAGCTTCAGTAAGATGACAGGAGCAGAAGCCAGATTAATAATTAAAATATGCTGCAATGTGCGAAACAAATTACACAAAGATCACAATTTTTCCTGTTAGAACAACTATGCTGACCTTTCATGTCAAGGACATTATGCAATATCGACAGGAAATTATTTCACAATGGATTAGCCAAAAAAAAAAAAAAATCACCTTTTGGTGAGGTTATCGGAGTCTTTCTCACACATGCCAGTGTAAACCCTTTGTTGAGCTAACTGAATGGCTTGTCTTCCATAGTGTTCACACTTGTTAATACTACGAATGGAAACTATATATAGCTAGGCATTGAAGTGGGGGATGTCTGGAGTAGGTGATGGAAAATAGCAACAAGATTCCACTTCAAAGGGCTTAGCATGTGAAGTCACTTTAGTCATTGATTTTTCTCTGTATCAGAGTGCTGATTTCTCCTCCTGAACTTCTGTGCTTCTCTTTGGACCCCAAGATTTCCTTTAGTGATGTTTTGAGTAGTGGTAGACTAAGCAATGGGACCATGGATACACAATTATATGACAAACCTCCCTTTTGTCTTCTTCAGTAGGATTAACCAGCTGATGAGTATGGAAACAACAATAAGACTGCAACAACAATATCTTTTATTTCTCTTGTAAACCCTTTGTTGAGCTAACTGAATGGCTTGTCTTCCATAGTGTTCACACTTGTTAATACTACGAATGGAAACTATATATAGCTAGGCATTGAAGTGGGGGATGTCTGGAGTAGGTGATGGAAAATAGCAACAAGATTCCACTTCAAAGGGCTTAGCATGTGAAGTCACTTTAGTCATTGATTTTTCTCTGTATCAGAGTGCTGATTTCTCCTCCTGAACTTCTGTGCTTCTCTTTGGACCCCAAGATTTCCTTTAGTGATGTTTTGAGTAGTGGTAGACTAAGCAATGGGACCATGGATACACAATTATATGACAAACCTCCCTTTTGTCTTCTTCAGTAGGATTAACCAGCTGATGAGTATGGAAACAACAATAAGACTGCAACAACAATATCTTTTATTTCTCTATTGCTT